CCAAAGCCCCAGTAGATAGTTGTATGTCATAGCTGTACATCCTTCTAGTTGCTGTATGTGGGACGCGGCCTCAGCATGGCCGGAGAAGCAGTGTGTCGGTGCGCGCCCAGGATCTGAACCCGGGCCGCCAGCAGCGGAGCGCACGCACTCAACCGCCAAGCCACGGGGCCAGCCCTATTGTGATCCTTTGATAGGCTTTTAGGATGATGCCCATGTTGCCCCTTTCTCTTCACATTGCAGTAGACATTCTTTGTGTTTTAGAAAGTGCATTCACGTTCAATAAACATAAAGGTGACTTACTTAGATTTACTAGGGGGAAAGTATGGAAAAGTTTGAATTCTAGAATATTGGGACTTTAAAGGAATATAGTTTTCTTACTTTTGAGAGTATGTAGTTTTTGGGTTTTTTTTTTTGCAGGGGAAGAGTCCCCCTAAGTTAACATCTGTGCCAATCTTCCTCCTTTTTTCTTCCTTTCACCCCCACAAAGCTCCAGTACATAGTTGTGTATAGTTGTAAGTCCTTCTGTGTGAGCCACCACCACAGCATGGCTACTGACAGGCGAGTGGTGTAGTTCCACGCCCGGTAACCAGACCTGGGCTGCAGAAGCAGAGCATGCCGAACTTTAACCCCTAGGCCATCAGGGCTACCTCAAGAATATATAGTTTTCAATTCAGAAGAAGTCACAGAACAAACTAACTATAATAACTTAGCGATCTCTTTACTGTCTCATCAGCTCTGTCTAATAGAATTTTCTGCAGTGATGGAAGTGTTCTCTGTTCATTAGAGTAGCCACTAGCCACATGCACTTGAAATGTGAACAGTGTGACTGAGGAACTAAATTTTACGTTTCCATTAAGTTTACGTTTACGTAGCCACATGGTGCTGGTGGCCACCATATTGTGTGCCAGAGGTCTGAGGGTTGCCTGGTAGAGCTGCTGCTTTATAGTTGATTAGGGCAGACTGTCTCAGGTGTGCTGTGGCACTCTTGTGCTTTGAGTTAGTGTTCTGTTTTATTTTGTTTTTAAGGGTCCTATGGTTAAATAGTCTGTTAAACTTGCCTTTCAGAGGTTCACACACATACATATATATAACCACGGTAACAGGTCACAGGTTCTGTAGTAAAGATGTGTTTCATAAACTCTCCTGATCATGGAACCCCTTCCACCAGAATGTCTGCTACTGGCCTGTGGGACAGCAGTGGATCGTGGAATACAGTGTAGGAAAAGCTAAATGCAAGGAGTTACTATTGTACTTTATTCCACAACGCATTTGAGGTGGAGTGGCTTCTAATTAGCACATTGAAGCTCTAATGGTGGCAAATCCTACTTGCCCGATGAAGCAGAGTCTGGAATTCAGGCATTAAAGGAGCTCTACTGTCCTCCACGCTACAGAGTGGGCTTTTTGCTGCGGGGATAAGGCCCCAAACATGGCCCGTGAAGAGCTTGTCTCTCTCTGCTTACCTTCTCTCTCCAGTTCCACGTTTCTACCCTTCACCCTCCGTCCTCTGCCTATCTCTACTTACTGAAAACCCTTTCAGGGGCTTCCCAAAGTCAGTTTTTAGAAGTGCTCCCTGATCTCTCCTTCCTTCTTTGACCCTAGTGGTTTATTGTGTTTCTCAGCACATTCTCTCTTTGATTTTTAGTTATTTATACACTTGTCTGATCTTACTGGATATAAACTCTTGGTGTCTGACACCAGAGCCTGACACCAGTAAGTGATGGCTGGTCTTCAGTGCTGCAGGGTGGCCATCATGGCCATATGAGAGCGAACAGGCGCCACCGAGAGGCTTGTTGACTTGGTGAGCTCTTCTCTTCACTGAGACTACTGAGGTGAACTTCAGATCGTATCTAAACACAGATTCCAGATTTGAGGAGGCAATGGAATGAAGTTTTACTGTTTATTCAGTTAGCTTCCCTTGGTAGCAATGCAGTCATTTGTCGCTTAATGACGGTGATACGTTCTGAGAAATGTGTCATTAGATGATTTTGTCATTGTGTGAACATCATTGAGTATCCTTACACAAACCTAGATGGTATAGCCTACAACACACCTAGGCCATATGGTACTAATCTGAAGGGGCCACCGTCGCATATGCGGTCCATCATTGACCGAAATGTTGTTTATGCAGTACATCACTGTACTGACAGGATGGCATGAAATACGGTGATCAAAACAAGCTCTTTTCAGGTTTCCCAAAGTACTTCAATTTAAATTACCATAAAGGTTCTGAAGAATCAACTTTTTATGCCATTTTGTAAACACTAAATTGGAGTTTTCATAAGAAATAGAAACTTTGGGTAAGTTTACTTTAGATAAGATAGTTTTTCATGTATTTCTACCAACCTGAAAATTTTTTTAATTAGAACAAGGTGGAATCAGCAAAGGCTACATTTTTGATATGTTGAAAACAAGTAGGGCAGTTTATAAACCCCATGCCAAAGGATTGTTCATCTCTGTGCAGCACTTGGCCGTCCTGATAGGGTGCCAACAATGGTGGTGGTTTCCTGGGAGCAAGTAGGGCAACCTTATGCTTACAATATGGGAACTTTGAAATCCAGGAAGTTCAGGCCCTTTTTCTTAGAAGAGTTCATAAGACACATTGTGTTGCTTAATTTTCCTGTTAATTCAACTTTGAAAAACATCAAATATTTTGTTGATGTCTCTTCAACACTCATACATTCAAAACCATTTATTTGCCACCTGCCATGTGAAGTGCTGGGCTGGGAGCTAAGCTGTACAAAGATGGATGAGCTAGGCAAGTCAGAAACCCTTGGGAACGTAGGTCACATGACAGTGCATAACACTGTTGAACCATTCGGTTCACGAGGTTGCACAAGCATTGTGTGATTGTCACAACCTGGTCAAGATAAGGGCTTCGGGATGCAAGAAAGGGAGCACTCTTGCTGACTGAAAGGCCTAAGATGGCTCTGTGGAGAAGGGCTACACCGTTCCCTGCGAACAAGGGCTCCCTGGCTCACCTCTGTAACTCCAGGAAGACGCAGTAAGGGGCACCTGCCCAATGCTCTGAAACTTTGAATCAATGACAAAGACACTTGAAGCTTGTAACAAGAAGGTGGCTCTTAGAATTCTGACCCATTTGTAGCTAACGTCTTTGTCAGTGTAATAACAAATACAAAGATGGAATTAATGATTCTGAGAAGTTTTGTAGGTCCCAGGAGGGATGTTTTTAGATGTGCAGCTTCCTGAGAGGGAAGGAATTATTCCTTTCACGAATCTTCTCCCTACCCCAACCTAACAGTCAAAGATTTATTTTTATTTAAAAATGTCTTTCGAAAGATTAGATTGGTTTGACATCTTTGGGCCTTGAAATACTGCATCTTAGGTGTGGCAGGAAGAAATGCATTTTGGAGGATTTCTTCACTTCTGAAACTCGATACCAGAATAATAGGATATTACTTTCTTCTTAGATTTTGATGAACATTTAAAAACGACATTAATTAACCTGTCCAGTAAGGTACTGAGCATTTGCATTTTCTTTAATCTGTGTTTTTTCACCTCTTAGGAGAGAAGCCTTTCAACTGTAGCTGGGATGGCTGTGATAAGAAGTTTGCTCGTTCAGATGAACTCTCTCGCCACCGCAGAACTCACACCGGGGAGAAGAAGTTTGTGTGCCCAGTGTGTGATCGGCGTTTCATGCGCAGCGACCACCTGACGAAGCATGCCCGGCGCCACATGACCACCAAGAAGATCCCTGGCTGGCAGGCAGAGGTCGGCAAACTGAACAGAATTGCCTCAGCAGAGAAAGCTGGGAGCCCACTGGTGAGCATGCCAGCCTCTGCCTGAAAGGTTGGCCAGGGAATTGCCGATAGGAATTTTAAAAAGCCTTTTATTACGAATGGAACTGATGGTTTTTTCTCAAAAAAAAAATGTCTTGGGGGCTAGGGGAAAGTGGGGAGCTGGTTCTGGTGAAAGTATGTTAACTTTTCTCCTTTGGTTGGGACCCTGTTCAATATCTTTTGTAGTTGCAGAAGTTTTTTTAAGGAAGTGGAAGAAAATTTGGTAATCTAAATCACCAGCATTCAAACAAACATTTTGGCAATAAATTTTGAAAAATCTGGATTTTTACAACCTTTCTATTCATGTTTTGTAGAAATGAGACAGGGTACTAATTTTTATACCGTTTTTTATAAAAATGTGTTTATTGTTGGCTCAAATCACCAATTTGTAGATAGATGATTTTCCAATCTTCTTTTCAATGTTTAACCATGTTTTTTAATAACTCTACTTTTAGTAAACTTGGCACATTATTCAGCCAAAAAAATTGCAAGTTTATAATCAGGCCTTTTAGATCTAAGAATTTTTTAGAATCAGAACTGGTTGAATAGAGGCCTCTTAAGAAATGGGGAAAAAAACTTTGCAGTCAGCTTCTTCATAACATTTTCAGGGGAAATTCCAGGCAACCATTCCTTTAAGGCTGTAGCCCAAGGAATTAAAATTTCAGTTAAGTAGAACTAGTCACCTGTGTCTGTGGTGTGACTTGTAAAAGATGTACCCCAGAGGATAACTTAAAATACTCGATAGATACCTGGTGAGCAGGGAGCTGCTGTAGGATCTGAGTGTCTGTGCTCTGCTGAGAGCAAACCATTCAGTTTCCTGTTTGTACCTCAAACACCAAAAAAAGATAATGTAAGCATTCAAATCCAGCTGCTTTGTCAATTGTCAGTTGACTTCCTTTGCTGTGGCCTTATCCATAGTATTTTGTGGGTCAAGTAACTTCTCAGAGAAAAAGGAAATGTCCTTATTGGTTGGAGGAACTTTCTACCAAAGTATAGCTTAGCTGACGTGAAGTGTACATGCAGATGGTCCAGCTCCTATGTTCTGATTCCTTATTTATTAAGTATTAAGAACTACAGGAAATGCAAGTTATGCTGAATGGCAGTAATACCACCCAGCTGCCCTTTCATTCATTTTGTTTGAAGGAAATTGTTTTGATCACACAGAAAATTACTTGCAATGGGCTGTTTTGCCATCTGCCTAGAAAATAGACGGTGGGCACCACTTTGAAGCCATGTGAGCACAGGTCCTAGCTCTCCAGAGACTGTGCCCCCCGGCATCCAGGGACTGCTGAGACAGGTTTTGTTAGGCAGCTTGGGGAATCCAGGCAACAGAACGCATGTGAGGAACATACAGATGTTGCACTGCTTTGTGAGTCTGGGAATGGTTTTTATTGTGCTGTGTGTATTTGGGTTTTGTCTTTGCCTCTTGGTTATTGGCATTTACCTTTATTAAAATGATGGTAAGGTGAAATATTGAATAAATATAATTAGGTTTTGTGTTCAGGTCTTTTTAGTCTGATAACCCTTACTTGCTCATTCATTGTATGTTACTTGATACCCATTAAGTTGCCTTTTAGTATCAACTGCTAATTGACATACAGGTCTGTAAGTGCTGGCTGTGTGTTTAGGAGGCCTTCATATTTTTGGACACTTCCACAGTTGAGTATTCCTCCTGGTCATGAGACGTAACATGAGTTACAAGAAAACCATAATTAAATGTATATAACTCGTGTTTCCCCATCACCCAATCCTCTCTCTCTCCCACTCATATCTTAGATCAGCATAAACATTTCTGACTATGTGTATGCCGTAAATGGCATTAAATTTGGATTTCTTTTTTTGTGTGAGGAAGATTAGCCCTGAGCTAACATCTGCCAATCCTCCTCTTTTTACTGAGGAAGACTGGCCCTGGGCTAACATCCGTGACCGTCTTCCTCCACTTGATGTGGGACGCCCGCCGCCACAGCACGGCTTGACAAGCGGTGCGTCGGTGCGCTCCCGGGATCCGAACCTGCGAACCCTGGGTCACGAAAGCGGCGGAACGCGCAAACTTAACTGCTACGCCACTGGGCCAGCCCCCCTGGATTTTTTTTTTAATTATACATAATAATGTTAGTCCTACTAACGTACTGGTGGATAATACAAGGTCTTTGACTATTCAGTTGCTTGTCACATTGAATGTTATTTTCTGAGCCGTGTTGTTTCTAAAGAATAGATGTGTTAAAAATGGTTTGACCTACACTTCCATTTCCTGATTAGATTTAGAAATACCTTTTGTAAACAACTTTTTTTTGCCCTGTTTGTCGATTGAAAGATTGTAAGTTGGGAAACAGTTTCGTCTGAAAAATACTGGTCCTGAGAACCAGAACCCTTGTGGTGTGTTGTTTCAGCGTGGAGTCCCTCCGCTGGCGGCTCTGGGTGTAAGAGGCAGAGCGTGTCCGCCAGGTCCCCCGTGCACTTTATTGCCTGAGCAATTTTGCTTGATTTGTTTTTGACTTTGAGCCTTTTAAGTAGTTTCAATTATAGTTTAAAATGTTTCATAAATACGTTTTATGTAAGATTTTGACTTATTTAAATGAGTATGTGTGATGTAACTTTTTTCTTTGAATCATATAAAACTTTTTTGATTTGCAAACTGGACTTGTGTCCTGTGTCATTTAACTGCACTGTGATATACCCAGTGACTTTTTTTTTCAGAAAAGAATCTACAAAATTCATTGTTTTTGCCCGGCCTAACCCTCTTCTTTGTTTTCTGGGGTTCTGTTCTGCTTTTAGGGCACCTTTTAGACTCCTTGGAGGGTTCTTTCTGAAAGAAGTGTGTGAAGGGGCTGCTTCTGTGCTGGCCACTCTGACGTTGGGTCTGGTCCTGGCAGAATAGGACCGTGGGTGCTGGGTACCCCGTGTCCCTCATCCTTGTGATCTTCTTGTGCCATGAGGTGGAATGGGGAGAAGCCTCTTCCCTCCCTCCCTCCACTCCCAGCCCAGGCTTCAAAAGTATGTCATGGAGCCACAGTCTTCACTCCTGCTCTTGGAGTCCTGAGTCTCTTGAACCCACTCTGGCTGGGGCTTCATGTCCACACCCCACTAAAGGACCTGCTGTGGATATTCCCAGAGCCTCTCGTGGGTTCAGTTCTCAGTCTTCACCGTATTTTGTCTGTCAGCAGCATTGGACAGAGTCGGTCACTCCCCTGCAGGCCGCACTCTCCTGCTTTCCTCCTCCTATTCTGTCGGCTCCTTTGCTCACCCCCCTCCTCTCCCTGACCCCTTTCCTATGCCCCTTCATGATCCTGGTAATCTTTTCCAGCCTTGTGACTTAGATAAAAATAACATCTCTACCATAAAGATCCCTGAATGTATCTCTCTCCTTTGCACCTCTTGTCTGAGCTTCAAATTCCTGTATCCAGCTGTCTACTTGACATCTGTCCAGTCAGCATCTCAAACCTAAAATGACCAAGCTCCTCATCTTCTCTCTCACACTTGCTTTTCTCACAGTTGATCCCATTGTCTTTAAAAAGAGCAGTGAGTCCATTCTTCTAGCTCTTCAGATGCAAAACCTTGGAGTCAGCCTGATCTCCTTTCTCACTCCACATCCCATGTGTCACAATCCTGTTGACTCACTGCCTTCCAAAGCCTCCTATCCTGGGATATGATGGTGGCAAAGATAGGCAGACGTGATTCCACAGGCCACACTGGTCCTGGTCATGTGTGTGCGTTTACATGCAGGCGTGTTGGGCGGAGGGGTGATAAATTATCATAATGGGCTTTGCATTTAGCAGTCCACCTAGACAAGTCTCTCCAACTCTAAACGCCTTTGCTTCTGAGTGATGGCCAGAAACCTGTTATCCTCAGCTTTGTGACTTTGTACCTGCTGTCCCCTCTCTGTGGTCACCAGGGTTCTACTTCCTGGCTATAACATCCACTGTTCCTTTGCTCTCAACCTGCCTCTTTGTTTAGGGACTTTAAAAATGAGGAACTTGAGACATTTTCCTAAGAGGTAGGCCCCATCCTGGGAGGAAACCCAGGCACCAAGGACTCCCTACCCCAAAGGGGTGAGACACACTCAGTCCCCTCTGAGTTAGGGAGGCTCGCTCCCAAAGGCCTCTCACCCTAAGAAGCCTCGTGGGCCCCAGGATTGCCCTGAGCTGGCTCTGCAAACAAGCTTCCTCTCCCCAGCATGGTCTTGCTGAGCTCAGCGGACAAACTGGCCAAAAGGCAAAGATGATCAGGAAGAAACAAGATGCCACAAACCAAGTGCTGGGGGAGGAGATGCACATGCATAATGAGATGACAATACAGAGTAATGGCTGCTGAGTGTTAAAAGCTTCTTCCTGAGCTCTCACTACCCGGCTCTGGTGGTAGCCTCTGGGGAGCCTTCTCAGGGCACCCTTCTCTGGACTCCTTCAGGACTAGAGGTTCTGACCACTAGTAAGAACTTGCCAGATTTTACTGAATAAGTCTAATCTACCTGCTAAAATGTAAGCTCCCCCATGACAGGGATCATATCACATCCACCTATCCATCCTTCCACCCACCCACCCATCCATCCACCTGGTATCCACTCATCCATCTACCCATCCAGCAGCATTTAATGAACTCCTGTTGTGTTGGGGCAGAAACCTAGAGATGAATCATTCTAGTTCCGGCACCCCCCCCCCCCCCATAGAGCTTATAGTCCTATAGGTAAGATGGATGTGAAAACACACAAGGAATATTCATAGCAATAAGCAGGATAAAAGAAACAGGATAGAGGGCCAGGGAGCATCATGCAGTGAGTGGCCGCCTGTGCTACTGGAAAAGTCTCCTGGGGAACATCTGAACTGAAAGTCAAGGGAAGAGTTTTCCACGTTTGGGACCAGAACAGCAGCATGTGCAGAACTAAGATGTCGACATACAAACCAGGCTGTGGGGGGGCCAGAGAGTGGAGTGCAAGGGCACTGGTAGGAGTGGAGGAGGTGATGCCGGCGAGGCAGCCTTGAGTCCTCCCAAAGGGCCAGGCGAGCAGAGCTGAGGGTTACCGGCACAGGAATGGGGAAGCAACCCGCACCCACTGTGGACTCGTTGGATTCTGGTGGGGACACTGGGGGGATGTGGGCCTTTGCCCCTCCTCCCTCTATCCTGAATTCCCCTTCTTTCACACCAACATCCCACCAACTGTCCCGGCTGAACTGCCCAGACTTCTTCCATAGCACCTGTCACTGTAATCATGCCTCAGTGTTTACCTGTCCGTCTCCCTCCATAGCCTGGGTTCCCAGAGGACAGGAATGGCAGCCCTTCCTTGTGGCTTGTTAA